ACGGTAGCACAATCTGTTCATTCTGTGTTTCGCAAGTAAATAACTTACTTGTTTTCGAAGTATTGCAATTGTTTATTATTATTCAGTAATGATTATAATACGCACAAAAAATTAATTCATTGAATTTTTATGAATTGGAAGTAATATTCAACTTAGTTTCATCGTAAACGAATGATTTCGCTGATTTCGATCGAATGTAAATGCGTGAAGCGATAGATATCCGCCATGTTATCATTTACACGTGGCTCATTTAAATATGTTAATGACGGTTCAGTGACATCGTGGTGAACGCAACGCGGTAGTAGATTTACCGATGTTCTGGCAAGATCTTTATGCTTTGATTTTGACGGGGAAAACGGCATGATTTTTTTTTAATCAAAAAATTAGTTGTTTTCAAAAAATAAACTGAGCATTCAAAGAATAATTTAACATTGTTCACAGAAATAACAGCCCATTGTCGAAATGAAGCTTACCCATTCACGCTATTCACAATAAACATCATACTCTTGAATAGATGTCAATGACTACGGTAAAATATAAATTAGACTCTTTGGCATCAGGAGTGAATGAAATATCCAAAATATTAAAAGAAAAATGCCGAAAAAACGCCGGGCGATTCTCCCCCCCCCCCCCCCCCCCCCGAGTTGTGAATATTTCGGAAATCGCTACACAAGCAAAAGACCGGAAAACGATTTACCGGTACTTGAAAACTGTCCTCGTGAATTAATCGTTCGTGTACAATAATTTGACAGGGTATACAATTCACAAACTAGTTTCGTAGATTAGAGACAATTGTTGCTTTTTTTGGTTTTTCACAAGAATATAAAGCTGGCAATCATCATAATATTCACGTCCGTACATCATGGAATGTACACCAATGGTACCTCAATAAACTGGAAAACTTACCTTTGCAAACACGTCTCTTATGCCGCCTTCTTAAAGTTCTTGAAATCAAATAAGGTTACTAGTTCTTCTAGTAACTAGTGAATGAGACCACTGAGCCGAACAGAATACATGTATAAACAGTACTATAATAAATTGCACGCAATGGAGAATTCACGTGCCTGCCATAATAACAGCAGCATTACTCACAGATCTAATCTACTGTAAAATATTTTATTTCAGCTGGAATTATCATTCGCTGAAAAAGACTTTTTCTGGGTGTTTTGTATTGAATTTATTTTCATTGATTTTTGACAAGTTGACTGTAAAATATAGGAAAAAAGGTATATTCGCTGGATTTTATTTTAACTGAAACATTCCTTCAGCGAAAGTAGAAAAAAAATGTTGCAAGCTAAAATAAAGTATTTTACAGTAATTAATTTATTCTGAGCATGCGCAGACATTCTGTCAATGTTTCCGGGAGAGGTAATTTTTGATGAAAATCGTGAAAAAGACCCACTTGGGATTTTCAGATCTCGAAAAAAAATTACGTGCATACTCGGAGGAGACTTGTTCATCAACCTGCCAAGTTTCACTGATATCTGCTGTAGAATTTCTGAGAAAATGTTGGAGACGGAAAAAAGGAATATGGAAAACGGAAAATGGACATTTGACATAACCTGAATTATGAGTCCCCTTTTTCAGGCTGCGCCTGACCGGGGACTAAAAAGTCAAATCTTAAAGTCAAGGATGAATTCCCTGAGTGCAAAATACTTGAGACAAAATACTTGAGTGCAAATAAATTAGAGAATTCTAAATCTGTGCGATATTGATTGCTAAATATTAATAATTAATAAATTGCCCCAATGAACCACCCACATGCAGTACACTGTACCAGCTTGTATACAAGATTAAATCAAAATAACAAATGATGAAAATATTCACTAAAATTAATCATCATAAAATCACCAAATGTTATCAAAGTACTAGTATTATAGACAATACTTAACTACAGAATGGTTTACGTCAGGTCACATGTGAACAGAGATGGTTTTTCTCTATAATACGACCATGATAACATCAAATACATTGACTATATACCCTAAATATTCACTTACTTGAAATGTTTGGTTTGATATCAATGTTGTAAACTCTCCTTGTCAGTCTATCACCCGTCATAGTACTAGTATACACACTGTAATCACCAATGCGGAGCTTATTTGCTGCTACATAGTCACACTGGTCAGCTGAGCACACACACACAAATGAGGAGTCACCAAAATACTGCTTTTTACATTCTGTATCTGTTAAGATACATATAGAATACAAACAAATCTATTAGAATTATAAAACATTCAACATATATTCTAATAACTTCTTTATCTTTTGATATATTTTGTTGTTGTTATTGTTGTTTTGTTTATAATAATTGTTTATTGCATCTTTGGAAATACACATTTATTTCAGTATATAGCAATAGAAATATTAATCAATACAAACAAAATATAACAAGTTAGTAAGAAGAATTAAAAAAAAGTCAATAAAATATAATTTTTGTGTGTGTTGTTGGAATGCCATGAAGATTAATTCAAATTGGGGGGGGGGGTAAATGATATATACCAAAGCCTTCATTCACTATTGTATAAAATTTGTATGCCAAATATTTTATTAAACATGAATTTTTGAACACTCTTTTTACTGGTTAGAATGGTGGACGAGTATCGTAAGAAAGTCAAGGTGTGATGCTTTCATAGTAATAGTGTTGTTTGTGGTAAGTTTTGTGTGTGACATGTGTTGATTTCAATATGAATATTAATAAATATGGGCATTGCACTGCAGTCGATGAATGGATTAATGAATGAATGACCAGAAATGTCTCAGCATTGTCACAAGCTCAATGGAGATAATTATTACGTTTCAGCCTTGGACATTTCGGCAACGAAATAGCAGACATTTCAGCCCTAGATGTTTGGAATAATGTATTCTTTTGTTGTTGTGTATAAACAATGTTAATAATAGTGTCAACATTAATTATTAAATGAATATAACTTTTTAATTGGCGATGTTCCAAAAACATTGAAAAATTGTATCCTTTCAATTCATGCTCTACGTGTTGCAAAACTTGCACTTCTCCCGTGATCATAGCCAGTGGTTACAATCCCAGATCATAACACAACGTACCAGCTATGATTCCAACAAAACATGAAATTCAATACATACAAGCATGGCATATTTATATTATAAGCCATTCAATAGTAGACATGACTTTTTGCTTGTTGCACTATTAAATTTAAAACAACCCACTAAAAGATTTTAATTATAACTTGGGGTGGTACAGTGTCAAAGTTGTGATCTCTCTAATCGGATCTTTGAAAGCACAAGTCCTTATAGCAATATTTAATGTCAAAAAATTAGATTGTTAAAACACGTTGCAACGTATCCCTGGTTGATATTTTGTTTATATGTCAATTTCACTATCGATTGCACGCTGATAGATTTATTTATTGACACTAGTAGCTTGGCAATGAGGGGCTTTCATAGTGAGTAGTTTTCGCAGTGAGTAGGGCTTTGTAGCAGTAATTGGTCCTTTCATCAGAGTTGAGAATTAATGTTTATTGTGCCATTAACAATTGGTGATAATCTGGGAATACCATCGTTAGAACTGTTAATTGGTCCTTATGATTGGTGCAGTTGCTCTGGCAAAAGTTCCTAAATAAAAACCATGCTCTGATATTGCCCCCTAGTTTCTTACTTCAACCATATATATATTACTAATGTGTTTCAACACAACAAATTAAACCTGAAAGAAATTACAACAAGCAGCCTCTCGGCCGAGATAGCTCCACTGTTAGCAATGCACGTTTCAATTAAAGAACAGAAGATATCATTAGGAAATGAACAATATTCAAAAATATCATTTTTCACCATAAATGATTGTGGTTTTTAACAAGAAGAAAATATCACTTTTTACCAAAAATGACAAAAATATTCACCAAAATTAGAAAATTAAAGATATCATCATGAAATGAACAAATTTGAGAGTAATTCACATGTAGTACCTATATATGTAATATCAAAGCAATTGGACTTGTGGTTTTTAACAAGAAGTCGAAAATATCACTTTTTACCAAAAATTACAAAAATATTCACCAAAATTAGAAAATTAAAGATATCACCATGAAATGAACAAATTTGAGAGTGGTTCACATGTAGTACCTATATATGTAATATCAAAGCAATTGGACTTGTGGTTTTTAACAAGAAGTCGAAAATATCACTTTTTACCAAAAATGACAAAAATATTCACCAAAATTAGAGAATTGAAGATATCATTACAAAATGAACAAATCTGAGAGAGATCCACATGTTTTACTATATATGTAATATCAAAGCAATTGGACTTGCAGTTTTTAACAAGAAGTCAAAAATATCACTTTTTATCAAAAATTACAAAAATATTCACCAAAATTAGAGAATTGAAGATATGATCATGAGAGAGGTCTACCCAAGGTACATATACACCAAGTATCAAAGCATTCAGGCTTGTAGTTTTCAAGAAGAAGTCGAAAAAGTAAAACATTGACACGGACGACGGACAATCACTCATGATAAGCTCCGCTCGACAAAGTCGACAGCGGAGCTAATAAAAAGCTTAGAAAGAACTCCCGTGGGCTGAGAGTATTAGAAACACAGTAAAAATTAATTCAAAATTACTTGTACTTGAGATATTGATGGAAAAGCTGAAAACTAATTACGCAAATCACAAAATTAAAATTAACAGATTTGAATGTAAAACTAATAAGGTCTGTGAAATGTAACAGACCATCTATGTACCAAGTTTCATTGAAATGTGATGAGAAACAAAATAATTATTATGCTAATTAAGAATTTTTTTTTTTTAATATGAACAGATTTTAACCCAAAACTGATCATATTTGTACATTGACCTATAGCATCTGTGTACACAGTTTCATTGAAATGTGATGATTAGTGTAAAAGATGAAAATTGATTAATTATGCAAATTAGGTGATTAATATGCATAAATATATACCAACAACTAATTGGCTCTCTGCATAGTTTAGATTCATTTAAAGGTGATGATTAGTACTTGAGATATACGTGAAAGTCCGAAAATCACTGAAATGTAATGCTAACTACCGGTACTTGAAATATCAAAAGCTGGAAATTAATTTATTATGCAAATCAGGTAATTAATATGTACTGATATTACCCTAAAAACTAGCAAGTCTGTACAGTATCCTATAAAATCTAAGTACCAAGTTTCATTGAAATATGATGATTAGTAGTTTAAGCTGAACATTTACTAATCATCATGTAAATTAGGTAAGTAATATGCACAGATTTTCACCCAAAACTAATCAAAACCTGGCATTAGTTAAGAGCATCTATGAACCAAGTTTCATCAAAATCCAATGAGGGGTTCTTTAGATATCAATGGAACAGTCATGCTTGTCATGGAACAGTTAAAAATTAGATAATTACCATGCAAATTAGGTAATTAGTATGCACAGATTTTTACTAAAAACTAATCAAATCTGCGCATAAGTTCAGAGCATCTATGTACCAAGTTTCATCAAAATTCAATAAGTGGTTCTTTAAATATCAGTGGAACAGTGGTGAACAGCTAAAAATGAGCTAATTATCATACAAATTAGGTAATTAATATGCATGCTTTCTACTAAAACCTAATAAAATCTGTGCATAGGTCCAGAGCATCCATGCACCAAGTTTCATCAAAAACCGATGTATGGGTCTTGAGATATCAGTGGAACAGACGGTCACACACACACACACACACACACACACACACACACACACCCACACACACACATACACATACTAACTGCAAAGACTCCCATTGTGTCAAAAAATTCCATCAGCCACAACGATGGGCATATCACAGTCAGTGTTATTTATGAAAATAATTGTTCATAATTTTATAAACTGACTTGGCAATTCCCACCACCAATTAGATATAATGTCACAGCATGTTTGTAAATTTTTAACAAATCCGAAATCACTCTCGATAATTTTGTTTACTTTGCAGGTGTACTATGCTTGTATTTGAGGTTTTTATCATTTTAATGGTGTACATATTTTAATATATACAAAAATACCCATGAAATATTAATTAGAGAATTTATTATATAACCTGGACAAAAGAAATTATTTTTCCATGCTATAATGATAACATGTAACTTCATACGAAAATCTTGATAAATGAGATTTAAAACTCACAACTGGTGGTTTAGGAATATTAGGGATTGTCAACTTATTCACTGACATTGATTTTATAGTTACATTTCATGTATAATAATATTAACACAGTAGTTTACTTTTTCTTGTTTGTTTGTCACACTTTTTGTATTGTTTTTAACTTTATTACCTTCTACATGTGTAGAAACCAAAAAAGAATAGGCAAATTTTCTCTAACGTTGTAATAAAGCAATATTCTATTCTATTCTATTCTGTATACCATAGGGTCCATAGTATCTTTTCCTTACTGATTTGACTACACTGTGTACTTGACAGTTTCCAGTACTTGTTTACTGTGTTCTCCAGCAGAAATATGTGATTATTCGGAAACATAAGATTGTAATGTGAATTTTGTTCATTAATGCTGTATAATGACCGTTTACTTACTTAATACTGAATCAGTGTCTGACTGGTATATACAAAATGTGACCAAGAAAAAAAAAGGAATGCTGCAGAATCAAAACAATCTGTCAGCCATTACCGTCCACACCAGGGATATGATTTTACACATAGAAATTGAGAATCCCGGCCAGTATTCAAATCATCAGTCTTCATGTGTGATGTTACTGCTATTTCCATCTATTTGCTTAGTGGTCCGAGATTGAATAATGTCAAGTTCGAGAGTGTGTCTTTATGTGTGCGACATGAACATTATTGGTACTATCAAAGACGTGCTGAACAGAAAGTAAATTTAGGCTAGTGCCATTGTCACATATTGGAGAGTTGAAGACTATTTATACATGAGACATTCCAGTATGGAATTCTTAAACTTGCTCTTTTGGCATATCAAAATCCCTTATTGAACCGAACATGTTCTATATTTACCAAAAAAACCACGTTGCTATGTTTCTAGGCAACGAACTTGACCAATCCAAACAAACTACTTCCTACTTAAATCGAATCCAAGTGAAAAAGAAGCGCCCGAGGAGTCAAACTTTTTAGACTATTTACCTTGGCGATAACAACAGCAATTGCGACAAGAAACTCAGTAACCTTTAGGAGTTCCAATGAAGGACATGAATTCAGTTTTATTACAGACTCCAGGGGAACAAAAAATTAAATATTCATGATGTAATTCACTCTGGTAAGGGAATAGGCAAAGATAAATAAACATGGCAACAATAACGCAACATTTTATTTGTAGTTACATTTTAGTTATCAGTGGTGTGGGAAAAGTCTATGATAAATAAAAATGGCGACAAAGGTAAAAAAAAATTGTTATGCTAATTATGTTTTCGCCATGTTAATGGTTGTAAACAAATTTCCTCGGTGATAACTATGTAAATCAGAACCAAAACGTTATCAGAAAAAACGGCAATGACGACCATCAAAATGTAATTGAAAGAAAATAAACATGTGAAGCATAAATTTCGAATTGTAGCACAAAGTATGGGACGTAACCATTGTTTACATTTGAGGGGAACTGAAATTACTCACTTTGAAGGTGTCATAAGAAGCAAGGGTGAAAACTGTGTTTATGCTATGAAAAAGAGAATACCTTGAACATACTTTGGCGCAAAGTAATTTTTTGTTTGATTGCCAAACACTTTTAGGTTCATGTGTTGCATGATGTTAAAGTGCACATACCTCAGCAACTGTCCCTTAGCAAATGATTTAGCCCAGGCATTTTCCAGTGTCAAAATCGCGAAACTATCCGTTTTTACTCTATCTGGAAAGTCTCAATTACTAAATGCGTAACGGACCCATACACACCAAAAATTATATCTCAAAAGTAAATATTCGAGTAACTATTTTAAGTCTAATCAGATCAGAAATGATAATTTGTTACTGCCCTAAATTTCCAAACATATTTTAGTATAAGGTTGTCACTACTTGAAAAAAAAGATAAAAAGTGAACACATATTACGAAGTTAGACTTACAATATACAAGATTCACTGGCGATAAAAATACAATATTATCAGCAGGGCAATCGATGGTGAAATTGAGTACGCAACTATGGGCCATGTAACTTAAAGGTAACACTATTTTTTGCCGAATTTATTCAATACATTTGGGAATGGAATAATACAGTAATGTCCGAATCGAAATTATATCTGTTTTCTTAAAAAAAATTACCTCTTGCAGTGCTTGTAAGAACAGTACCACAGAAAAACGCCAGAAAACAACAGAACCATGTTCGAGTGTCAGCCATTTATGAGGTCAGAGTTTACGCTCGATGCTACAACTTTTCTCATTGGCTATTTTTATTCCCAAATTATTATTATCTGATTATTAGTCTTTTTTATTCGAAAATGTCTTCACAACATCTTCATTTACTTCATATATTACAACATTGGGCAAAATACAAAACATATCAGCAGAAATATAATAGCCTGAACAAACAATCTAACCAATCAGTGATCAGCTTACATCCGCTCACGTGATCATTCGCGGTAAAAATGAAAACACTAATTTGCATTTCAGTCAGTCATTGCAACATGTCTGCTTTTCAGTTGCCTTTTTCTGAGGGACATTTCCATGTTTTATGAACCATTGTTATTGTTTTGATCATACCATGTGCTATGGATGCGAAGTATGCTCTCGCAAAGGAACTCTGCAAAGCAATTCAGAGGGATGATCTGAGGTATTTTTTTGTTTTTTTCGGACACGTGAATGTGAGATCGTCGATACAAGTATTTACATCGATCACGAGCAGTTTGTCCTTCCTTTCCCCTCTCACTCCAAGGAGGAATTATTTGTGATGTATTTTGATTATTAGAATACCGAATTTACGACTATTTCGCCTGCTGTTGAATCTGTCGACGTCTGATACAACAATTTTAACTGAATTCGATTGATGCATGACTAATGTTGGCAATGTTGATTTGGTTACTAATGATGTTGATTTCCGGGTGATAGATAACGTACATGTAATCAGAATTCGTATTGTTTGTACATAGACCCTCTAACAGTTGGAGGGTCTATGGTTTGTATCACTTCAGTGTTCAAATAAATATAGGGGGTGGGTCTAACCTGTCAATATCTCAAAACACAGTATATATCCAGTAATCTGTGCATTTTTTGTTTTTAGTTTGACTGAGTTACTGCTGTCACAAGGAGCAAGTCCGAATACGCCACTACCAGAGGGTGTCAGTCCTTTCCATATTGCTGTTGGAATTGATAATTCTATAGAATATGTAAAATTAATGTTACAATACAATGGAAATCCCAATGTTAGGTAAATATTCTTATGGATTTAATAATTAATAACAACAACTGGTTTTGCACTCAGAATTGTGCACATTGCAGCGGGTGCCAAAATGAACTGATCATGAAAACCGTTATCTCTCTATCAATATCCCTTGGAAGAATCACAGTTCCTCTATCATCTCTATGTGATAGAGGGATCGACTGTGGAAGAATCTTAACAATGCAGCTTGTTATGACTTCAACCATTGGAAACTTAAATATCAAAAGTACAAACTCTATTTAATGGGAGTGTTTAAATTAGAGATTAAATTGCACACTTGTAATTACATAATAAATACCTGCGTATCATCTGCGCATGCGTCAGATGGCCATAGCGTGTCATTGTTTACAAACAAGCGTCTACCGATGAGCCTTTGCATGTTTAGCATGTGTTGTTATCGTCGCTTGGGACTCAATTCCTATACGTACACAGGTGACGACCCTACCGCTTTAATTGTGTTCAAGTGTTGAGTGCTGATGTGATGCAAATATTTGTATTATCTCTTGCAATTCTTTTGTACAAAATCTGTTTTGGAAACAATTTTCACAGAGAAATATCATCCACAAATCAACCGTCCACAGGCAACATCTGCAACACATTTCTGAACAGGGCTAGTGAACAGTAAATTACAACCATAATTTGAATTTTTATCCTAAACATAACATGTGAGTTACATGGGTGAAAAATAAAAAAATAAAAAGTGTACCCCTGCACCCCAGATGACAGTGGTAGTGTCCAGGAGTACCAGCTTTCAGGATTGAAAGTGCCAACGTCAAAACAAGCACCACCAAGAATCTTCAAATGTATTTTTGAATATTCCAAGAATATAGCTATAGTTAGATAGCGGTTTTCATAATCAGTTTATTTATTATGGTTATCGATTTGTGTATAAAATAGTAATTTTATTACCAGTGTGCAAGTATTGTCTGAGAGTAATGTATGGCAAAGACAAAAACAAACAAAAAATATGTGTAACTATTATGTCTATGTTTTAAAAATACTTATAAATGTTCACAAAACAAATTCAATTATTGATGGCACATTTACAATTATTAATTTGTCACTTCTTGAACCTTAGATCATCAGAGGGGGTTACTCCACTGCATGTGGCAGCCATGTGGGGTAAGTATGATTCATTGCAGCTTCTTATCTACAATGGTGGCGATCCATACATCAGAGAAGAAGAAAACAAGGACACATGTGACTTGGCAGAAGAATATGGTGACAAACAATGTATTGATTTATTGAAAGATTACCAGTTGTGGAATACTGATGTTCAAGAGGATGTAACTCCAAAATATTCATTTTTACCAGGTAATATTCATGAACATAAAAGATCTAACAAGGATTATTAGCCAAAGTGACTTTCATAGTTTTTTGTTCTCAGAATGCTGTGAAATTGTTTCATACAAACAATATGATTCAGTTATCTCACTGACTTTGGACATTTTATTCAAAATGGCAACTAGTGTCATCGGACATTTCTATTTTGGATTTAAAACAATGACCTTAACAGAAAACACTGAAACAAACAAATTTAGGACATTTTAAAAAAATTCAAGCAAATTGCTGATGTCCATTGAGCATGATCTAAATCTCATAATTGGTTATCAATAGTAGACCAATTTTTCGTTCTTCGAAAAAGTGACCTGAACTGTAGTGTTGCTCTTATATTTCTACACCTATTTACAATTAGTGTTGCTTTATGTAGGATATGATGTCAAGTGATTGTTTCTTCTTTGCTTTTTTGTCTGTATTATCTCTTTTTCTAAAATATTTTGTACTTTTCTGTTTTTAATTTTCAGTTCCAAATAATTCTCAAGATGCAATTGATTTACTGCATCATTCAAGAAACCAAACATTGGAAATTACTGTTCCTCCAAATACACTCTCATCCAGTCAGAGCAGCCCAATGTCAAGTTTGTCAGGTTATTCACCATCCAATCAGAGACCTTCATCTCCATGTTCTTGGCAAACCTTGTCAACTGTGCAGGATTCAACATGTAGTCATTACAGTGACTTCAGTGATAGTGATGAAGAGATTGCGTTTAATTTTACGAAAAGTGTGAGTTTTCATGGGTGTACTGATCAAGGGACTCCAAGCAGTGGTTTCTCAGAGAATGAACTTGATTTGGGTAGAAGTGACAGTCAACAAAGTGTTGCAAATATGTCTACAGCAACATATATAATCAGTAGAGGCACTCCAGAACCACATATACCATGTTTAAGCTGTGGTAGTAGTAATAGGTCATCTATTGATGACACAAATGAGTCTGCCAGTAAACCAGACACACAGTCTGCTCTTGATAACAATTCAAAGCCTTCCAGTTCAGTTTCACTGCTAAACCCACTCCCCCATGATAATACATGTAGTTCTGAGTCAAGTCTGAATACCACAGTTGATACTCTATCAGAAATACTAAGCAGTGAAATGACACATGGTTTAGATGTCACATCTCCGGACCATCCACAGATATTCACTAAAATGTCCACAAGCTCCAGTGAAGATGAATACGAGAATAAGTTTGAAAAAACATTGCTTTTCTTTGAGACTATATCAGAGGAGGATGGAGAAGCATTTCAAGAAGAGGAAAAAAATGGAACGTATTTGAATTTGAAAAAGAATGATGTGAAACTAAAAGAGGATGTAGAAAACAACGATGTTAGTCGAATTTCAGAGACTCCATCAGAAAGTGAATCTCCGAAAGAAGCTTGCTTGGAATCTAGTAAAAATTCAGAGGATTCAAATAACTCTGCAAGTGATTTCTTTTCTGCGGAGGAACATTTGTCTCACAGCAATAGAACAGATAACGCATTGGATATATCTGACACACCCAAGTCTGCGAATATTAGAGCATGTCCTGATACATTGATTTTGAATGACAGTGTTGAACACCCTTGTAGTGTTGTATGCAAGCAAGAACCGCAAATCAATAAGGATTCAACAGAAAATAGTTGCCCGGATACACAAGTTTTAGAAAATCAGGATGAGCAAATACAATCTGGTCATAATGAACAATTAGGAAGAGCTTTTAGGAAGTTTCGCCCATCACAAATTACAAGCTCTGATACTGTTTCTTTAGCTTCTGAAAATGTATCGTGCACAATGCTAAATAGTGGACAAACAACTCCAGATACAATAATTTTTAGGAATGATGATACTATTGCCATTTGTGATACTCGAGTCATTGATGATACTGCACAGGGTAACGTGAGAGAGTTAACAAACAAACTAGGTGGGTGGCGTTTAAAGAGAACTGTCTTCAATATGTCTGATCTGTTGACATCAGATGACACAGCAGATTATGAACCACTAACAGACAGGTACGCTGAACTTTCTGTGGAAAAAAAAACTATGACAAGCTCTCCTGGTCAATCTGCAGATGGTCCTGTCAGAAATCAAACAGTTGAATTTATATACACTGATTCAGATGCTGGAGCAACACTGATAGAAAAAAGATGCCCTTCATCTTGTAGTAGCAGTGAAAACAGTTTGTTGTCAGGCAGTGTTAACTCATCTCTGGATCTAAGTTCTGATAACACTATCATATATGACTGGCAAAAGTACCAGACAGACACAAGCTTAGATGCTGAGAGTGAACCAGAAGCCAGGGTAGAAATACCAGTTTCATTGAACAAACTTACTAATGAGCAGCTACGAAAAGAATTATTGAATCATGGCGAACTACCAGGACCTATTACGAGCTTTACAAGAGATGTGTACTTAGAGCTGTTGAATAAATTGAAAAAAGATGCAAGTCAACTAAAAATCAACCGTGACAACAGTAAAATATCAACTGCTGGTATGTATTATTTATATATCTCACCAATATAAAACACTGTATTTCTCCATTACATACAATACATTGTATTCTGATGTGATTTTAAGTGTATGCACTTTAATACAAAAAAACCTTCTATGAACTCTTTTTAGTTACCATGTACATGGAGAGAAAATGTTTAATGTAAATTAATAATTGGCACACTTTTTGATCTAAAACTAAAAGAAATATAAGAAAATGTATGGTTCAAAATGACAATGAAATGTGAAAATATTTGCACTGAATTTTAGGTGTGAAAAATAATGAAACTCAGAGGGTAAATATTCCTACTTTAATTTGTTCAAATGATGACTGTATACATATATGATGACAACACTAAAACAGTGTAAAATAGCATTGTATTCTCCATACTAACAATATATGTATGTTTTTCTATCCAGGGTATTTCCATGAACTCTCCAGATGCATCTTACAAAATCATTCTGTTCCTGATATGCAAGACGATGAGCAAAAGATGTCAAATCAGTTTGACCAACCAGATCCACTGAGGAAATGGCGTGAAGGAACTCTCAAGTCTTCCTTCAACTATTTAATTCTAGATCCAAGAGTGACAAAGAATTTACCAGTCAGACATCACAATGGTCTCAATGAAACAGAGGCATTTAAAGTTTTCATATCAGCAATTTTTTACATTGGTAAAGGCAAGAGGGCCAGACCCTATGCTCATTTCTATGAAGCTCTTGAGCAATTAACAAATCCTCGATTGAGGGTAAGTATTCTTTTACTGTTGGTCCTCATTTTAGATCAACACTCCATAGTATGTTAACTTGTGATCAAGAAAACATGTGTTCTGAAACATTCGTTCACGATAACTCAAACTGGTAACTAAAAAGGTAACATTTTTTGTATCAAATCATAAGTAATGCTGTTAGAACCTGAAAAAATATGTGTGTATGGTAGTAGTAGATTATTTGTGTAATGTTTTGGTTTTTCTGGTGTCCATACCACCAATTTAATGTCAGCTCAATGGTTTTAGTTTTCAATAATTAAATCATAATTTAAATTAGAATTGAGTCAGTAGTCCAAGAAGAAAAATCAGAGGTGGATGACATTTTGGGGAACAAAAAAAACAGCACACTTCTGTGAGCATCAAAATTTTAGAAGCCAATGAAATACAAAAATCTGCTAAATAAGTAGGTTCAAAGAACACATGCGACAGCAGCATAGAGAGTAAATGTAAACATGAATAAAATTTACGCGTTTACGTACATAAACAAAATAGGCATGCTGTAGTAACTTTTGTGGTTACTGCTGTGTTTCATATTTGTACAAAACACAAATACCGGTATGTGGAATTTAAGAGTACAATATACGTGCTGACTGACAAAATGTATTTTGATTAATCATGTTTCTAAACACATTGTAATGTAAAATGACTACTTTTCACTGGGTTTAAATTTCGCTGATTTACCATTTCAGGCATATTCAGTGGGTTTTAAATTCACGGTTTTATCATTTAGATAATGTGTCCTATGCCAAATTTTACATATTCACTGGGTTTTAATTTAGCGCATTTTCCTGTCAGCGGAATAAGCGAAATTAAAACCCAGTGAATAATTAGCCCCTTTACAGTATTATGACAGAACTGTTTATCTATCCTCACGGAAGGAAAATTGAATGTTGAGTGTAAATTGTGTATCAGAGATATGACAAACATCATCGTATCGTCAGCTGTCAATAGCAAATTACTTTGCAACTAAGACACCACAGTAGCCATCACTTGTATTTACAACCCCACTTACGCTATCAGGATGGTGAAATGTCTTTACATTATGTAGATGCTTTTTACTTTTTACTTCTGTCCACTCAAGGAAGCATGTAATATATTTTTTATGTCAATGCCACACAAAAAAATTGGAGTTCATTATTCAGATCATGTGTGGTTCATGACATAATTGGAAAAAAGCTGGTGCAATCATTGCCATACTGCTTTTTCAAGTCAGTGTTGTGTCAAATAAATACCAGCTGGGTTATCATGTTGAGTATGCTGCTATTTCTAATCTATAATTTGTCATCTTACAGCCAACCAAAAAGGTACAGCATATAACTGATATATGGCAGCTTGGGTTGGGTGTTGTATCCTTGCATTGCTTCCAAAGTGTCATACCAGTGGAAGCTTACACCAGGGAAGCATGTATGGTAGATTGTATTGGTAAGTAACTATTGATGACAAAATTGAAATAAGAATTCATGACACTGATCATGTACTAGCCTTACACATCATGTAGCACATTTGCACATGCATCTGCTTCATAATCTGATTCAAAATGGCTGATCATCATTTTCATATGTTAGAAATGCATTATGAATGTCATGGACGAAGAAAATTGTATGAATAAACTGGCTCCAATTTGTATCATGTTTGTCACACAAGTGTAAATAATTATTTGTTGACAATCACTTATCATAGATGTATAATGACAGGTCCCTCTCATTTTTGCTACCTCAGTACCATTATATACTGTGATTTGATGAACATCCAGAATATTACTTTTCAGGTTTATCAAGGTTAACCAATGCTAAGAAAGGTGACTATTATGGGATAGCAGCCACATGGTCAGCATCCAAGAAAAGGCAGATGGGAGTCTTCCTCTTGCATAAAGCATTCAAGATCTTCCTAGTTGAAGGAGAACGGCAGATTAGGCCTGCAGACATCAGAAAAGGACAGTAAAAGTGTACCCTGTTTAAAATGTACTTGGCTCCTCAGAGAACCTCAAAACTGATTTATATTTGACAGGTGAAAAATTCAGTCATATTTGTTCTCTGTGTCTTCCACTAAAAGTACAATAGTTTTAGCCATGGTGGCTAGTACTGTTTAATTTTTCTTTTCCTAGTTACCAACGAATTGAAGTATGCTAATGTTAGCGATACATTTCATATTAAGCAATATATTTTCCTGATGTTAAATTTTATGGATGGTGAGATGTTTTTAAATGGTGACAATTTTCACAGTATAATCATGGTTAGCAATTAATTTTAGCCATTGATGGTGAAATTGAAAAAATTTGTTGTCGCTAAATCTAAATGTAGTTTTCCATTAGCTGGGCCATTATGTCGACCATTGAACAATCCATGAAGTACATACTGAATGTCAGGCAGTGCGTCGTGTTTACTAATTTATACATCTCGGACTTTTTTGTAGTCTTTCCATGGTATCTTAAAAATAGTTCCTGCATCAATGGAGAACAAAATCATGTGCAATATTTTATACCAAGTGTCTAATGTGTACTGTGCTTTCTCTGTTTGAGGCGCATCTCCAATAGAGGTCCATAGGCCAAAATATTGTCAGTGTTTTGGTGGATTTATCAAACTTTAATTCATGGAGCTATAATTATACCAACCTTTTTCATACATCATTTACATGAGCACATGCACTTCTAAGAGAGCAAATACAGTATTTCATTGTACATGGTAACCTGTATTATTACAGATTGTTTTAAAAATATAAAGAAACATTTTTGGACTTATGTTGCTGTTAAATGTTTTGGTATAAGCATGGGTATTAAAACTTAAACAAATTTATTTTGTTATTAGTAGTATTAAAACAAATTACATGTAGCTGCCTATGGGCATTCATATAATGAATAACCATTATTAAAACACTATGGTCTATTATTACAACAGAACACCATTTATTATTACAGCAGGGTAACAAGCTCACTTGATAACACTTATTGATTACCCATTTTGCACATGTTATATAAATTTCAAACAAACTTTTTTTTTTATTATATATAAATGAATTTTTGTGTTTCAGGACAAAACAAACATTGAGAATGCATGATCCTCTTTCTGTATTAAATACAAAATCCATCACTCTGGTACTAGCGATTCACAGTTATGGGGATTATTTGTGGCTATAGTGATGTATATTCTGTTGTATTTGGTTCACTGCAATGGGCAACCAAATTCCAGCATTATACTGAATTCAAACAAATAAATAATGTGAGGTTTATCAGAGAAATGCATGTTAATGCATTTTTTAACCACTTTATGCAAAACTATCGGTATTGAAAATTGGATCAGACCATGAAACAACAATGTTGCAGCGCACATTTTATCTCTTAATATATTTTATGTTTAGCAATAGAATGGTGATGCATAAACTGTATTAGTCATTTTTAGTGATTTTTTCCCCCATTGCATAAATATAGTGCATAACACAATTCAACAACCCTGAACTGCAATTTGTGCAGTGCCCCCCCCCCCCCCCCACATCAAGGTTGTATAAAAAATGTCTTTAATGTAAAGTGGACAATTTTAATCTTGAAATGACATCCTGAATGTCTAAGCACTGGACTAACTTGTATCTTGTGTATGCAGTGAACTAACTTGTAGGAATCAAAGTTGTATACACACAGCCAGTAGACTGCAAGTACAATCATAGATTAAAATTCCAACATGTCAGACACAGATTTCAGGCAGTTAAATATCAAACTTTCTGTGGACAATTGAATAAAGTTTTTAGAAACTAGTATTAGTCAGAAATCAGCACAGACATGAATAAAATCAAAATGGCTGCCAGTCGATCATTTTTGTTCAGATTTCAAAAAGAAATTGATGTGCAGCTGTAACCCAATATGCATGATCATGATACAAAGTTTGAATGAAATCTTTGAGAAACAGTTTCGGACATGCTTACAGACTGATTTAATGATTTTAGACAAAATGGCTGTCAGTTAGATCAAATCACAAAATAACAAAACTTACAGAACTATCTGTGAGGATAGTACTTCTATTCAAACTTTAATCTGAATCAGACAATGTATTAGTCTAGAATCAGCAGAGACATGAATAAAAACAAAATGGCCGCCAGCCGACCATTGATAGACTAAAAAACGGTGACATTTCTGACAGCTTTCTGAATATATATACACACAACATGTCTTGATTACACATATTTGGATTTTTAACTTGCCTCATTTTAAAATTCATAAAAGAGAAAGTTTGGTGATTCCTGTCTGTGTGTTTGTTCTACAGACATCTCAAAAAACATATTTGAAGAACCGGTAGATTTATTGCATTTACTGTGCTTATGCATAATGCTCCTTTTCATCACATTGCTTAGTGGGAATCGAACAGACTGACTCAGTTTTGATTTTATGTTTTTATTAGATAATTTCTTTAAAGAAATGACCTCACTGGTAAGCATAAAGTTTTCTGAGGATGCGGAAATGCAGAGCTGGAACTTCGATATTACACCCAATTTCAAAGCTATAATTTGTTTAAATTGATTGAAATTTTGAAAAATATTGAAGGGTATCGAGACATGCTTTCATACACTTTAGGGCCCTGGAAAAGCAATAAATTCATGACCTAAATACTATAAATGGGCAATGCAGAAACAAGATAAGCCAATGCGTAGTTCAGCCTGACATACTATATTGTCTGATTTATCAGGAACTGGGTACTATATCTGCTCAATTAGTAACACATGCACTTTCATAATTGACAGGTCTATTTATAGTCAAAATAAGTTTTATTTTAATGATCCAGCATACAATAAATAATTTTTGGTTTATGTGCACTTCTAATAGAGCAAATATGGTATTACAAAAAATACACATGCTTATGTAAATGCCATCATGGTTTCATTATCTGCACCAGTGAAATGGATTGAATCTCAATTCTCTCAAGATTTAACGTTAAGCTTTAAAGACTATATGTAGCATTGTACGATCTGAAACCACTTTGTAGGTCCATGACTTCAGCCTTCTCATCTGAATTTATTCAGAAAATGCTCAATGAAAGCTGTAGAATTCCTATTTCTGTCAAATTTGGTACAAATATGACTGACTGGAAGCTATTTTTAACTTGAAATTCGTCAAAATAGAATGTATTCACAACCATTTCTCTAAGATGATAGTCTATGATCACTTAGTGTGATGGCAATACATATTACGTTGCAGGTTTTGTGATCTGATTAAATATGGCAGACCAGTGGCCATTTTAGGTTAAAAAATAACTTCTATTTGTGAAAACAGTACACATATATGGTAATACAAACAAATTACAAAACAGTTCAAACAATAATAATTATGAAGTACACACTGGTTTGTGATATTCTGAAGAATCATGAATTAACATTGATATGCGTATGATATTGATAAACACCTGAGTTTTTGAATTTTCATGTGTAAATGTAGTGGATCGTGGCATGTCTTCATTGGTAGTCATGATAATATTATCAGGCTTAAGATATATAAATGTTTCAAAATGGACGGCATTCATAATAGTAATGTACAATTTTTACAAAACTCATCAGTAATTGGACTTACTGAACTTCAATGAACACAATATAAATAACTTCTCTCTAGCATGATGGTATTTCATCTATGGACTGTAATCGTGTCATTGTCAGTATCCTCAATATTATCTACTGGTGATACCGATAGATATTCAGCCAAATATTTGTTTTGCATTAAATCTTCAAGTCCTCCCCATGATTTAAATGGTCCAACACATAATATTCATAATTCATTAATTTTAATAGTAGACATATGGTACACAGTGTGGACATCAGCAAAGCGTACAAACTCTTGGCAGCAAGTAGCTATGACACCAGTACACTGATGCTGGTCACAACTGATTAATATTCCCAGTTAAACTTTGCAGCAAAATCAACATTTTATTAATACAGACTGAACAGAAGTTCTGAGGATTATACTCCGAAACAAGCAAATGTTACACAAGGTTGACAATGGCAGTGAAGTACATAAACACTGGCAGTAGTTCTATTAATAAATTGATTTAGATTCCCTTCGGCATGAGGATTTGGATAACACACGTCTTGGCGTTCTTCTTCTACTGCTCTCACCTTTGGTAATAAATTCAAGAATATAATTATTAACCATATCTGGACTTTCCATCATCACCATATGACCTACATCATCTATAATTTTGAGATCAGAACCAAATATCGTCTGAAATAGAAAAAACATTGTTAATGGTGACATTGAACTATGGTTTTATGCAGGTTTTCACAAGACACCTGATACATAATAGAGAACATAATTGACATTTGTCAGGTTTAAGATTGGGACAAAAATAGACAAATTTTTTGAGTGAAAACTGACTCAAATTTTGTCTGTTGGCTTCAAAATTCGGGTTCACTTCCAGAAATATTAAAGATTATAAAAAAAAGTGCAGACAAATTTGGGCGAGAAAGTCTGGTGGTGAAAAATTTAAATGAAGCAATAAACCACTGCCAAAGGTGGGCCTTCTACAAGATTTTACACAATCTACAACATACATGTATACACACACACACGCATGAATGAGTGGATTGTAAAATCAAGTTACGCTAACTTCAATTTTTATTGTAATTCTGAAACATGGAAAAAACTTTAAAGCATAAAAAACCATGTACAAATATGATATTGCAATCTTGAGGCCTACTTTACTATGGCTTCGTAATTAAAAATATGCTTTTGTCCAATCAGAACTACATATTTGAGCAATTGAAATGCTAGTATAATATAATGGGAAATAAACAATGGAGATGAGTTTCTGTCAAGTTGAGCTGTTGAAAATAGCTCCCATAAATGTTTGGATTAATGTGAATATTAAGTACAGCATTGATTTTATGTCATAAATATAATAAATTATGAGTATGTTTTCATCCAGGACAGGTTAAACTACACAAACCAGAATACATGATGATCTTGCTGGCTGGGTTACAAAACATGGGCATTTAATGATAGTGTTACAAAGACAAAGCTTCAATTCTCTCAGAACCTACCTCTTTCATCCAATCCACTTCATCCAAGGTGACAAATGTATCATTTCTTCCATGGATAAGTAAAGTGGAAGGAACTATTTCACTATGGTATTCCTCGTTACCTTCAATCCATATCTGACCCTGCATTGTTCCCCTTAGTACATATGTGGGTACATCAAATGCTTTCACTTTAATGTCCTCACTCAACTTGGAATTACGAGTAAATGCTTGCCTGTAAGAAATGAGTGATAGTCCTATCAGCATTAAATATGGCAATTGTATTGACTATACGATTTAGTGTAGAAGTTTGATAATCATATGCTGCTATCATGAATATTCAAATATATTCTGTGTTTCGCAAAACAGATCCAGTTTCATACAAAATAAGATACACATACATAGAAAACTCAAGAAATCTTTTGAAATTACTTGCATATAATTATCTGATATTTTAAAAGTAAAGTTAAATATGACTAATAATGAAATAAATGAATGGATTTTGTAAATGGTAATAATAAACTATAGAATGGAAATAAACCCTTCGTTCACTGTCACATGGTTAGAGTAAAAAAATACATGAAAGTCATTTATTGTGTTAATCACATACTAGTCGTCTCTCTGTATGTTTTGGGGAAATAGATATTAGACACTAAACCTAGGTGTGCATTTATCAACAAGGGTGTAGATTAAATCCCCAATGATGGAGAAAACTTGTTTATAAATAACACTAAATGTACATATGTGACTATATTGAAACTTACCCAGTGAATCTATCAAGGAGACATGACTGGATGCATGCTAGTATACATGATGGCAAACAGAACACATGACAAGATTCTGGATACAATGGTAATGGACCACCTCCACTGATTAAAATCAGTTTGGTTACTTTCAAATATCTCTCCTTTGCAATCTTGGTGCAAAATGAGGCTCTAAAGAACAGATAGAAAGTACATGTATGTATAATTTAATAGCACATATAGTAAAACATAGTTTACCTTTAATAATTTTAATAATAGGCTGTCCACAACAGTATAGGTCATTTCACTGGTCATTTTGTATATGTTTCCAAAGTCTCCTGATCATAGACTACATCCTGTCTATGTAATAACAGAATAATAATCTTGTTCTTACCAGTATCTAACAAAATTAGGGGAGTCATACTATCCAGAAAATATTCTATTAACCATTAGAGCGACATTGTCAACTTTTGGCACCATTTACAAAATTATTCTGTATAGTCTGCGTCTCTCTACATGAAATGTTGATAAAAACTGACAAATCTTTTGATCAAAATCTTAAAGCAATATCTGAGCATGTCTGTAAGTTCCAAATGATGATGAAATTTAGTAAAAATTTTACAAAATGTGAAAATATTTGTACTACAATTTTATGGGTGGGAAAAATATCTGCCACTCAAAGGGTTAAATATCATGCTCAAGTCCTAGAATCTCTAGAATCTCAAATGAATGTACTACAAACATCACCAGTGAAAAATTGAAATCATTTAGCATTTTGACTTACCCATAGGAATGGCCAACAAGAATATTCATCCGTCCATAATACCTATCAAATATTTCCAATAAATCTAATGCAAGATTTGTAAATGAATAGTTAGATTCATCACTTGGTGTTGCACTGAACCCATGTCCAAGTAAGTCTGGGGCAACAACATTATAACCATGACTGGAAAAAAAATGTAACTGCGATGTCCATATATCCGATGACCCACCAACACCATGGATGAAGAATATGACAGTGTCTGAGCGAGATTTTGTTAGCATTCGTCTTTGAGACTCTGCTGATCTTGGAGACATTTCAATTCCAGCAATGCTTGTTGGAGTCCTCCTTCCGAAGTCAGGGGAATTTGCATTTTCTATAGTTTGTATGTCTTTCACAGTTGATTCAGGTTTACTGCTTGATTCTAAAGTATTTGAAGATAGTTCATCCTCTGTACTTGTCTTTTTATTTGTAATATAATGCTTTGTGGGGTCTTCTTGTATAATATGGCTATCGTTGGTTTTCCTGTTGGGTGCTGAATTGTTTTCAGTGATGGCATTGATTTTCTGTACTCGTACTATTCTGCCTGGACGGATTTCAACCAGTTCATAAGTGTCATATGTTCCTGGTTGAGGTACAATTTTGTGATGTCTCCTGACACAACACTCATGGCTATTCATATTGGTCACCAGCATTGAATCAAAATTATCAACTACAAAAAAAAAAAAAAAAGTTATTTACCTGAGAATTCAGTTAAGTAAAATTCATTGAGATGGTTGACCTGAGTGATGTCATAGACTAGTATTATCCATGAAGCAAAGGATAATACAGCCCATGATGCCACAAGTGTCAACCAGGTGTACGAATAAGTGATATCAGATAAGAATCTTTTTATGACTTAGTTGGAGTGCAAACAAGATTGGTATGTTAATTGGACATAATGTTTAAGCATGTTGGTGAATGCGCATTTGCATTTACAGATGCAAATAGTTTTCAAAATCAGTAGAAATATTACTTTCCTTAGCGATATTTTTATAAACTTAATTGTAAATGTTATCCACTCTGAAATTCTCATATTACAGTCATAAAAACAGTACCATGACACAATTTGATATTTTCTCAATGTACTTTTCAAGCACACATATAGTGATGTTGCTCAGTGTGTGTATCATCATAGTGTGAAATATCAGTCAATAATATTATGATCACGTGATAATATATCAATTAACCATCACTACGAGAAGTACTACATATATACATTTGTATAAGTAAGCATCAGCAAATTTGTATATAGAGTGCTTCTGTACAGAATAGTAGGTAGCTGATGGGTAATGTTCATTAGTAATAATAGTATACCGCTATATCATTCCATTATCATTTTTTGTTTCGAGTCAAGAGCGCATCATGTGAAAGGAAAACTTGAATACAGCAATTGCCGACCCCTTAAAATTCTAAGTGATGCGATGTAATAACAAATAATACATTACTAAACATGCAAGCATAATTGCATTAATTCATACCTGTGGAATGACGTCCGTCGATTAATGGAATGTGTCAGCATTGCCATGACACCGGGAAGCTCATATATCCGCCTACATTTTGTTGCTGGCAACGAAATGTTTGACGCGATTTCGTTACAAACAGAAACAGACATCTGAGTATTAATCTGTGTGAAATGCATTAACGACTCATTTACCACACTATTCCACGAAATACGCATTCATTTCAGGTTAGCATTAGTGGACTAGCAATCACAACATAAGCATCAGTCTCTATCTGTGCTATTTTATAGACACTTAGGTAGTTATTTAATGTCGTTTCTAAATAACAATATGGCTGCTCTTTAATTCAATATTATCACCAACATGTTTGCATTTATACGTATACACAATAAAAACTATTGCTAGTATTCCCATTCACGTAGAGCTGACTGCTGTTTATTGGAACATATAGAAATTGAAACGCAAACGCGGTAAATAAAATACTAGTAATATTTTGATGGAGTTAAAGGGCATACTGTATATCGAGGTCAAAGGTCAAAGCAGTTCTGGTTGTGCATGTCGAAGAGTCTACCATCTTTCTGTGTTTTCACAAAATGACATCGATGTTGAGAAATTTGACGCGGGGAGTCGTCAGAGCATGCTATTCGTCTCTTCTTAGGTGAGTTGATTTCGAATCGTGCATCCCACGTTACCAGGATGGATGGAATTGGTCCATCAGTTTAGAAAGTACGAGAACGAATTAAGTTATTGTCGGTATCTACTAGGGGTGTCACAACACACGCCAATTATGGCCATGTATAGCGAGTTAGGCAGATACCCCCTAGACGTATTTATAAATAAACAGATAATTAAATATTACAGTCGGGCCATGAATTCTAATAATGCATTACTCAAGGAAGCTTTTGTGGTTAACCAAAACATTAAAAGTAAATGGTATCTAGAAGTAACATTATTAAACAATATCCAACAATATCATTCAGTTAACAACTGTGATACATTAACCTCGGCACAAATGAAACAAATTGATTTGGGCATCAAGGATTTATTTCTAACAAGATGGAAATGTGAGGTCCATAATGATAACCGCACCAAAGCAAATGAGAAAAATAAACTGAGAACATATCGGCTAATCAAATCAGATTTAAAACTTGAGCCATATTTAGTCAAGCTAAAAAACTTTAAACTGCGTAGTGTGCTTACCAAATTTCGTCTTAGTGACCATAGTCTCAAAATTGAAATGGGTTGTCATAAAAAAATCCCATTAAACAACAGGGTTTGTGACATGTGTAACAAAGGTCTAATTGAGGATGAAATGCATTTGCTGCTGGAATGCAACAAATATGAGTTGCGTACCAAACTGTTCAATAAAGCTAAGGATATGATCACAGCATTTGAAAATAAACCTGCAGAGAAAAAAAATCATTTAATTGTTAAACAATGAAAACGTTATTATACCAGTAGCACAGTTCATAAGCAAAAGCTTTGAAGTCAGGAAGCAGGGTCTTACTTGACATCTTAATGCCTGTCAATTTAGTAATTTTACATTAGTTAGTAATTTAGTGATTGTATTTGTTATTTAGTATATTGTGTTTTTGTTTTTATACATATTTTTCTCCTTGTTCATTGTGACCATTTTCTTTCCCTCCGGGGATTGTGTAAGAGTCAATAAGTAAATAAATAAATATATAAATCCATGTGGGACTAGATACATTGTAGATCTATTTACTAGTACCCTAACTAGTTTTTTTGTTACCCTTTTAGAGACAAAGTCCTATAATGCATATTCTTGAACTGTTGTAAAATGTAAATAATAAATAATGTTTATTCCATGTTACCGTACTTGTGGCCTAAAATACAATAGTATATCATTAATTGTATCATGGAGCTAACATTTGTTCTAACTCCATGAATGATTGTATACACAGAACAAAATAATTCTGTTCGATAAATGCATTGTCTACATGCAGTTTGACTATGCAATGTGTGACAACTACCGCCCTTTAGTATACATTGAGAAGCGTATGCACATTTGCCTCAGTTTTAATATTGTTTCATATTTCTTTCCAAACTAGGATGCCTGGAAAATCTGGGAATATGCAACAGTCAAAATGTTTATCATTCAAGAGTTCACTGCCTAACAGTTCTGTTTATGGACACGCAGAGACTTCAGGCTACACCTTATTTGGAAATTCACTAAAATTGTGTGTTATACAACCATGCCGTACTAAAGCTAGAGGACACACCTACCAACCCAGTGTTCTAAAGAGGATAAGGAAACATGGTTGGCATGCTAGACTGAAATCCAAAAGCGGAATCAAAGTGATTCTGCGGCGCATGCTGAAAGGCAGAAAGATCCTTGCGTGAACCACGACAAAACATTTGTAGTTGTTTTTCCAAGAATTCATCAGCAATGATTGATCTGTATGACAATTGAAAACTATGGAATCATTTTCACTTTTTAAAAAAACAGTTTAGGTACACCATGGAGACAGAATAAATGTGATATTGACAACTTTATCTTGTATGAATTATTTATTTTTAATAATTACAAAGCACCTGATAATGATCTGCAATGAATCTTGTAAAACTAGACAATTATCTGTGATAGATCTCCACAATGTATTTACCGGTATATACACATCAGAAACCTATAATGGTATCAAACTAAACTCTCGTTGGTTTTACATCTTTGAATAGCCCTTAGATGCCATGCTGAGAGCAACAGAGTGATTTGTTTTTTCCTCTACACTATTTGAAAAAGTCTTGTCTCACTCCTCTATGGGAGATCTCTGCGCTATTTGCATTTAAAGTCTATTGCAAGTGAGACAAAACATAACATTTATAAATATGATGCAGCAGTGTATTGAGAATAGTTATCATTGACAACTAAGAATGACTAATCACCTTCACATCCATAACATGCATTCTTACATGTGATAACAAATAAAAAAGGAATAATACGTTGCAGCTACGTAACCTGACACTAATTCTAAGATACAAAACTCCCTAGATTCATGAAGCAGAATATTGCTGTGTATTTTGATAAAAGCACAATGAGTATAATATTTTACATTCTCTGTCACCGAGAGATTAGAATTACATTGACAAACAAGATTGGAAAATAGCTATCAAAATGACTATCAATACCAAAAAAACAAACAAATTTATTCTCGCCTCAAATAGGGAAAACTCGCATATTATCCATACCAGTGACTTAATCAAGACAATAGTTATACATATACACCTTTGTATTATCTAATCATACAGAGATTTTCACTGGAACTTTTCCAATGGAGTATACAATTTACCAGTTGTAAAAATAGTTTGATATACATAAAATCTAATTGTCAGCTGCAGTTACATTTCCCAATGTACGAGGAGTCTGCTGTTTCCATAAAAAAACTAAAACGCTGTTAAATTCAAAGTACCGGTATTTGGTCCACAGCAATCATTCAAATAAATTAGATTGGTGGGAGAGATTTTGGCATTTGTAAGTAGCTGTCCCCTGTCAGGATTGTGGTAAAATATGAGCAATAATATAATATGAAACCATCTGTAACAAAATTCCCATGACATAACCACATCTTCTGTGTAATCATGCATAAATCAAAATATGACAATTCTGAAATTACTTTAAGTCTAATTTCTTACAAGCATCTACCTTTTATTGGAATACTTTGAAACGATGAAAATGCATGAATTAAAAGAAAATGAAAAGTTTTTCTTACAGCTCCCAATGCCAATGTAGCAGACAAAAAACACATGCTATTCAAGACTTATTTTAAGCCTTGTGTATACTGCCATATTATTTGGTCACTTTGTATCATCCCTTGATATCACTGGCCCAGAATATGTATAACAAATGTGTCATCACAGGATCATATCACTGACCCCGAACATGTATAAAAAAATGTGTCATCACAGGACCATATCATTGGCTGAGAACATGTATAAGACGCATGTCAGCAAGTAAATCATATCACTGGCCCAGAATATGGTTGTGTCATCATAGTTTCATGTCACATATCTAGAAATATTAACGCAAGGGAATAAATCTGCTGCATAAACGGTAAGGGTTTTTCTTAGGTTGTTTTTGTATATGTAATATGAATATTTTGCCCATCAAGACCAACAGACTGATTTATACAAATTTTGACAATTACAAATCTTGGTCCTGATTGTTTTCGACCTGATTATTTTCTTCCTCTTCCTCCCCCTCCCCCTCTCCCTCTTCACTGTCAGTTGCTATGGCAGCCACAGCACCTCCTGATGTTGAGCTCTCGCCTGCTTTGGGGGAATCAATAATTGATGGATCTCTTGCACTGTAGCGAGTACCTAAGTATTGTCTGAGGTGAATCTGCAAATGAGATTGATGATTGAGTTATTTATTTTACTGGTAATAAATATCTGTCAAGTGATTGGTTATTCAGCATAAATATATGACAAAACAGAATGCTAACCTCTAAATATATAACTGGTCACATGACTGGGTTAAACCACGTCCTTTGTTTTCAGCAAAATTTTGGTGCCACTATTTGCCTATTTTTATGTATTTTTCCATAATTTTTTGATAATTTTCTACAAAATATACATAATTTGAGATTTCCACAGATCTTGATCAAAATTTCCAAAAAAAAAATTATTAAAAAACAATGAATAAAGATGAACTTTAAAACAATAAATCCACTGACCTGTAAATAAAGGTTGACTTCAGCACTTCTTGAGAGATACGGAAAATTTCCACCACTTTTTAGATGAGCTCTTTTAGCATTAGGAAAACATTTGTACATCTCTTCTTTGACTGTCATGGAAAGTGCACTCTCATCAAAAACGTCCATAACCGTGACGTCTGTATTTGATACTTTGTGAGGTTCCACATAGGAGTCTTTACAATTCAAGGTTAGTCTAGATGCTAACTGTGATTGTGTCAAACTGTCAAGCTGCAAATAAAATCAACATTGAATAAAGTCAAGTTCTCTTATATATAGAACGTCATAACTTCTTTGTTGAATTGCTCTCAATGTCATCAATTTAGTGAACAGATAAAGGAATTTAAAATGTTACCCTTTCCACCATGAAGTCAATGGCATCAGCCATATCACCATCAGTCAAATTCGAAGCAAAATTACCCATCACCATTCTCTTGAGAACAAATGCAGGTATTAACCAGAATCTATAATAAATGGTAATAATGACTTCAAATTGAATTTAATACACAGATGTTTTAACCTTTAACTTTCTGAACAACAAAGTCAACCTTTTTTTTTTCACAAAAATAAAATATTTTTTTTTTTTTCATATTTTTTCAAAAATTTCTACAAGACATGTAAGTAATGCAAAATTACGTCCATTCTGCCTAATATTAACAAAGACATTAACCAAAAATTTTGCAAAATATTGTCAGGAAAGAATTATAGCATTCAAAGGGCTGTATTCAGAAAATTACAACAGAATGTTGACCTTCATTTAGTTTTTTTTTATTTGGCTGTAAAACATCTTGTCATGTGATCATCATTTTTTTTTATCTAACAAGTTTTCAGTTCCTATTTCAAATAACTGGATATTGTTATTTTATGAAAAACTAATATAATTTTAGTTAGTTCAGGTTGTAAAATCTGTAAGTGAAAGTTGACTTATCATGGCACATGAGTCTAAGCTATGAAAAGAATTAAACATGTCAATAAACTTACGTTTGTGCTGCAAAAGTTTGTTGGAACACACTTGTATCAATGAAAGTATTGCACAATATTAAAGACTGAACTCTGGGACTCTTGTATGTATATTCAGCAAATTTTAAGGCCATATAGCCACCAATTGATGCACCAAATAAATGAACCTAAAAAAAAAATGAGAAACATAGATTTATACAAATGTTAGTTTTTAGAGAATGTTGCATTTTAACTATGCACTTTAATAGTAAAATGGCACAGATGTGTTTTAAAATTAGTATATTATTTTCTTCAATAGAGCAAACTATCAGATATGTCGGTCATAACTTCTCTTAGAGACTTGCCTTGTCTAACCCCAGATGATCAAGTAGTTTTCGAAATCCTTCACAGAATTCTGGAATGGACCAATACACGGGAAACTCCATCTTGGTTTGGAGAAAACATGATATTAGTAAGACTAGATTTATTATCCACAAATATTAACATTACATCTATGTTTATACAACTTTAGGCACATGTGAACACAATACTAATACATGTATATACTATAATAAGGTACAATTTTAGGCATGTATGAATACCAAGGCAGATCTGCAGTGCTACGACTAACTAGTGGCAAATACTTACTGCAATCACTCTATAACCCAACCCTGATAATGCTAATAGTTGCTGGTAATAAACATCTGCAGTGCCACTAACTGGTGGTAGACACATCAATGGACATTTGACACATCTTGGGCCAGCGTCATATAAAGTCCATTCTTTACTGTCATCATCATCTACAATCACCTTGAAAAAGATATTTTGTGTATAAATACCCGTAATATGAAAATATTCTACAAATGTTACAGACATGATACATTGCTCTATTAATAACACATACACTTATAAATGACGGGTCTATCTAGGGTCAATTACAAGTCATATTTTGGTTTATAAAAAGAAAGACTAGCTACGCTAGTTCTAATTTTTTGAAAGTGCCTGTGAAATGCCCACCCACACCTCCATTTTAGATCTGTATCCTACTGAAATGGACAGTTATTTTTTTGTTGAAAATGATTACTCATACTTTTTTTGAGAGAGAGAGTTTTTAGAAGTTTTCACAACAAACATTTATGATGGTTAAACGTTATGTTGTGGGCAGGTACAGTAATATGTATGTGGGGTATAGGATCTTTTACAGAATCAGATAACAAGTCAGTTACTTCGAGCACAACTACTTTATTCTGTGGTCCAAAGACTACTGCCTCATGTTAGCCTTGACATTCTGGCGGGTAATCTCAAGTTACATTAACGTGATAGGCTATAAACTATAATGTCATAATGTAAGATAAAGAATATCATACGGTATCCCCAAATATGTTAATCACAGAAATGATCTGTTCTCAACAATGTATAGACATCGTATAAGTATTAATTCACACAGTTCCAATCGATTCCAAGGTGCGACATCAGTGGACGAAAAATGTGAAATCATCGAGAAAAGGGTGGAATGGACCTTATCCTTACACCGTCATATGTAGTGTCCACTTTACCTCAGATTCTTTTTTCGAAAAACTGTCCTCATTCATGAAAGAACAAGTAGGTTTTAAAGAGAAGCACCGACAACTTAAACCTGGTGCAAAACCAACATTTTTTTAAATAAATAGATTCCGGAATTTGATAGTGACGTGAAAACAAAAAACAGGTAATTACACAGCACTTACACACTGTTAATTGTTTTCATTTTAGGCTAAACTTTTCTGAATTGTTCTGTGATTGGTGTTGAACGTTGAATTTACACCTCTGTTACCTTTACTTGCTGCTTGATCTGCGTAATAATTTATGGAATAAGAATCCGGCTTGGGATGTCAATGTAGAAAATAGAAATAGAAGTCAACACTTCAAATAACTACCATATAAGTAATTGTACAGTCCATATTTCGCATCTAACTCAACCCTATGTGACAAACTTGATATTATGTGTTCTTTATGGTCCATTCTTTCTCGACAAACAAGTTCATAAGTGGCAATTTAGTCAAAGATGAAAAAACTGTACAAGAAATGTGCCTTATATACATGTATCGGCAATGCAAGCTGACCAGCAGATTCACAGTCAATTCATTCCAATTCACATTCGTCCCACAAGTTGATTCGTCCCAATTCACATTCGTCCAACGATTCGATTCGTTCTAATTCACATTCGTCCCACGAGTCGATTTGTCCCAATTCACATTCGTCCTATTTTTTTTTTTTTTAATTATTTTAATAATTTTGATGTACCAATTGATACCATACTTGTTTTGATGAGTTTATGGCTGATATTGTGAAAGGTAACGTTTATTCCTTAGTACAATGTATTGCCGTCGGTGATTGGCTTAAAGTGGTTGCCGGCGCATTGTACGCAAATAATAGTTGTAGTAATCCGCCGTGTTTTGCGTGACATTCAGTTTAAATAGTTTACTTATTGTAGGTTATAAATCATAAGCCGACTATTATTCTATAAATTAAAACGAAACAGTATTTTATTATAATAGCTGTGTGGATGGGATTTCGGATCATTATTCATTATTTTTATTTGGGAACTATTTACTTGTGCCGAGAGCACTCCAGGGAGAAGACAAGAAGGCGAGATTGGCGACGCCATGCGGGAGAGTCACAGCCGAAAACTAGATTAAAATACCATGACAAATCAAGTCCGGGAGTCAACATACGCAGTACACCTGAAGTTATAGCGTTTTCAAGCTCACTTGGAAGAAGTTTCATCCTGTTTAAGAGATAAGTAAAAGGAATCGTCATACATCCTGAATTCTGTAACTGTGAGTACAACTCTCCGTTGGTGAACGCCCCATGATGCATTGCAAGGAGAGCTAAACATGGCCGCCTCCATGCTACACTAATGTGTTGTGCGATTGATTGAACTTGTCGTAAATCATTGAACTGACGTCCTGTTCTTCGTTAATCAGGGACCACGAGCAACCTATTCTCGCCTAACAACTGATTGCTGTTTCCGATGTCTGTCAGTAAATATGATTAATAAAATCCTTCGCGAATATCCATGAACGTGAAGCTACACTAATTCATTGGGTTGACAATGGCGGTTAAATCCAGGACAGGGAAAGCGCATGCAGCAGTTGATGGTAAGGCAGACATGGGAGGTTGTAAAGAAGCTCAGGACTCTATTGAAATAAAGAAAAATATGAATACCATGGCTCAAGCAATGCAATTGATGCAAGAGCAGAACCAATTATTAGTCAAGAAACTCGAAGACATGGAGCATCGCATGGCAGAGGTGGCAACGCAATCTACAGAACATTTGCAAACCAAGAAATATCAGACAAATTATCAGGACAGCCAGTCTTCCATGAGTGAAAGTCCACAGACCAGATCCATGATAGAAGAAAATGAGAGATTGAGAGCAGAGCTGCGAGAAACGCATCGTAAGATTGCTGTACAGGGTAAGTCAGGCGGGGGTAACCAGGGCCCTTATGGACAAAGGGGTAGGCAGAATCGAGACCAAACGCAGATCACATGTTACAATTGTGGAGAGAGAGACCACAAATCAGTTGACTGCGCTTCCCCCTGTAAAAGATGTAAACAACATGGTCATTCGTCAGGAAAGTGTTCGACAGGTAAAGGTAGGTTAGAAACTAAGTCTATTATAGGCCAGGCAAGGCCATGTGTGGAGCGAAACTTGCTTGTGCAAAGTGAGGGTGCTAAACCGATCGACAGCAAAGTATTGGGTACACTGAATGAAGAATGGGCCAAAATCAACGGCATTCAATGTTTGAGCATGATTGATACAGGGTCACAATGATTGGTGAAGCCTTTTATGAGAAATACCTGAGTGACGTGCCGTTCACTACCCTAGACGAATTGTTGGTGATACGCGGTGTCACCGATGACAAATTGCAGTATAAGGGTGTAATAGAAATAGATGTGGCGTTTCCTGAACGAGTATTTGGTGACAGTGGAAGTAAGTTGATATTGGCTCTGGTTGTCAAAGATAATGCCTACCGTTAAAGTCCTAATATAAACCGCATACGTAATAGTAACCGCACCCCCAATTCTGGCTTCGGGGGTAAAGAGTTCTTAACAAAAATTGAAAACTTGAAAAGTACCTATTACTAACCGCACCCCCAATTCAACAAGACCGTGACTGACTTCATTGTTTCAACCAGCTGTTCCAAAACGGCATTGTTCCTAATCCTATTCATTTGTTTCGACAACATGCCTAAAAATATTCACACCTATTTATTGTTCAGCGGTGATAAGACAGGCAATGAAACTGCTTTTGTTCTGGCGGCGACCTCTGTCAATACTCTTTCTGAATACGTCTGTGTTCCGTAAGTTTTAGACAATGAGCTTTTATCACCGTAAAAGTGTTAAACTGAGCATTGAAGAATAATTTATCTTTCGAAAACAAATAATTTCTTGATTTAAAAAAAAAATCATGCAGTTTTCCCATGGAAATCAAAGGCAAAAGATCGCACTACATTATCGGTAAATCTCTTCTGTGTTGCGTTCACCATGAGGTCGCTGAACTGTCATTAACATACATGTATTTAAATGAGCTATGTAATTTAGACACGTGGGCACTATCCAGCATTTTGATTGGTTAATTAGCGACTTGACCTATCCGGTCAATAATACGTCACGTGAGCATTCAAAAACATGGCGGATATCGCATCGGCTGTTTACATGTGACTGAAATCATTCACTTACGGGGAAACTAAGTTGAATTTTACTTGCATTTTATAACAATTCAACGAATTTATTTTTCGTGCGTTATTGTAATCACTACTAAATAATAATCACCAATATCAACACTTCGAAAACAAGTAAATTATTCACTTGTGAGCCGCAGCATGGCCGGATCGAGCTACCGTTATGTGGTCATTTGCTACTAAGCAGTGCATTCGTGTTTTTATTTGAAACTTCTGTTAGAATATACTTTTCGTTACCAAGAAAATTAAAAAAAATAAATGCATATTACATTAAAAATACTGAGTATTATTTGTATCATGTGGAATTTTTCAACATTTCGTAACGCCTATTTTAGAACCAAAATAAGGCCTTTCACTCTTCCCCGACGCCTATTCAAGAGATTGTATTGTTTTGTGCATGTGTTGTGGACAAAAAATGACAACGCCCATTTAGTGATTGCAATATGTACGTAATAGAAACCGCACCCCGAACTTGAGCTTTTGATCCCAATTTTTAAATTGATACATTGTAATATAAACCGCGGTTTATAATAGGACTTTAACGGTACACACTAAGAGTCCCTGTTACGGCTGGTACCAATTGGTTAAACCTGTATAGAGACTGTGTGCCCCAGAACATGAGAGGTAAGACTAGGCAGCGTATGTCGATGGCCGCGCGTGGTGCACTGCGAACCTTGGATGCCAGAGATAAATTTTGTGGCAAAACTGGTCATATGGGTACGGTTAGAGCTTCTCTGAAGCAACCAGTGGTAATAAAACCATCTGAGTCAACAACAATAAGTGGTTGCATGAAGTCTGGGCCACCAGGTGATAAAATTCAAGTATTGGTGGAACCAGATGATCGTCAGAAAGGATGGATGCTTGACACTATGGTGGCCGTTGCTGCATGTGGTAGGAAAAAGTCTGTAGTTCCCCTCGTCTTGCATAATGAGTCAGCACATCCAATCATTGTCAAATCAGGTGACTTAATTGGGTCTGTACAGGCAGTGTTGGAAGTAGATGATGGCCTACCAAGGAATGCGCTTGCCCATCTGGAGACTGCCAGAGAACCAGAAAAGGTAGTTGTGACATGTGGTGGCCTGCAGTTTGACATGACTTCAGCACCTATTGATAATGAGCAGTTGCGTGAAGTCAAAGATATGCTTAACAGAAATCACAAAACCTTTTCCAAAAGTGACAATGATTTGGGTAGATGTGATGTGGTGAAGCATGAAATTAAGCTGAGGGATGAGAAACCAATACGCCAACCATACCGGCGAATACCTCCTGCCCTATATGATGAGGTCAGAGGTCAAATTAAAGGTACGTTAGAAAGTGGTATCATACGGGCTTCAAATAGTCCATGGTCGTCTCCAATCGTATTGGTTACGAAGAAGGATCGAACTAAGCGGATATGTGTGGACTATCGTCGACTCAACGATCAAACTATCCACGATGCCTATCCTCTCCCGAGAATAAAAGATAGTCTTAATTTACTCAGAGGCTCGAAGTGGATCTCATCTATTGATCTTAAAAGTGGGTTTTGGCAAATAGCCATGGCCGAGAACGATATTCCCAAGACGGCCTTCACCACACCCTTCGGTTTCTACGAGTTCGCAGCTGTCCCGTTCGGTTTCCGCACACTGGAGCTACGTGCCAGCATGTTGTTGAGAGTGCTTGATGAGTACAACAC